GCATCAGGATAAGTCCATGTGGCTTTTTCTCAAGGATGTCTTGCAGGAGGTGAGCCTTGCCAGCTGAAGCAGGGAACTGGCTACAGCAGCTGCACCCTGGTCCGACCATCAGAGAGCAAGAGACCTGACCACTAGAAAGGTTAGGCTCACTGAGCCATTTATCTCGCCACCCTTCAATTAATCCCACATGTGTTTATCAGCCAGGTTGGCACAATAAACCTTAACCATCTCACTTAGCGTGTAACAGAATCTCTTCAATGAGGGACTATTGTAAATTCAAGGCCTGCTGGAATGACAACTCTATATTTGATTCTATTTATCTATATACTCAGAGGTAGATTTCCCAATAAACAAAATAAGCCTTGTCTTACTTATGCAATACTAATCTGTAGGAAGCAGGTTCGAAGCATGTGATTGTTTATGCAGATTAGTAAGTGAGCACAAGTAAGCCCTGCATCCCATCACAGTCAGGAACTGCAGACTTGAAGAGAGGTTTCAGTTTTATAGAAAGGTGCTCTGGGGTTGGGAGAGAGAAAGATGTCAGCCATTCCTGGAAACAGAAGCTTTGATATAGTGGGAAAATGTGGTATTTCACTAAAGATTAGTAAATAAACACAAGTAAGTGCATGCTTACCTCGCCAATTGGGTAATCTGACACTACTTATCACTTGATAATTATAAATCACTAGATTTCACCACCCAGAATTGACAGATTATGCAACTGAAAAATGGTCACACACTGGCAATTTCACAGAGCTCCACCTAATTACACCATGATTTAGTCATTCTCAACCAATTCTGTTATTTTATCTTAATGTTCAGATTTGAACCCTCTTCTGTATCTTTTGGGAAGAGAATTAGCTGCTTACCACCAAGTTTCTTGTCCTGACTCTCAGTATACTGGATAAAGCTGATGAGCTTCTGGCTGGACAGCCAGACGTCTGCTATGAACAGGTTTAACATTTAAACAAATATTTTAGAGTAGTATTGATTCTTCTGAGCAATGCTTTTGATAAATATTCAAGATAATTATTTTTTAAAGGAGTAAAGGAATATAACTTATTAACTAGAAAACAATGAAAACCTAAGTACCTTGGAAACCTGACCATGGTTTTTCAAATTCAATAATCATGAAATAATCTGTGATGTTAATTCAAATGAAAGTTCCAGAATTATATTGTTTGTTTCCACCATTTCTATTGTCCCCCAGAAGCCAGATGGAGCAATGTTAACTCGGTGGTGGAATTCTCAGCTTACAGGAAGGAAAGCTGGGTTTGATCCTGATCAAAGCACCTCATCTGTAGCCCTCATCCCTCTGCCAGCGGGGGGTGGTGTGTGTTGTATATTGCTATGATGCTGAAGAGATTTCAACAAAGCTTCTGAAATATGATGGATTGTTATGAAAGAGTTAGCAATTTTGTTCCAAAACTAAACAAATGAAAAGAGTCTGATCCCTTAAGTCACCTTGCGGATGGTTCTGCATTGGTAGCATTTTGATCCATTGTGGATGGGGTCGTCATACATCAGGGCTGGACTGAAGTCTAGCTGCACTCTAAGAGCAAGTAATTCTTATGATATGGCCCCACTTGATACTTACTCTCATGAAGAGATCACTGAAAGTATGGGTGCTATAGCCAATGGTGATGAAGATACCAGACGGTATACAAGGCTACTATAGGAAGGAAACACATTTGGAATTTTAATGGGTTGTCTTAAAATAAGCAGCCGCCCACATGGAAGAAGCACACCAGCCTGTGTGATCATGAGGTGTTGAAGGGATCAGGTATCAGGCATCATCAGAACAAAAAATCTTATCATAGTGAATGAATGGGGGAGTGTGGAGTGGAGACCCAAAGCCCATTGATAAGCAATTGGACATCCCCTTACAGAAGGGTCGTGGGGAGGAGACAAGCCAGTCAGGGTGCAGAGTAGCAATGATGAAACATACAACTTTCCTCTAGTTCCTAAATGCTTCCTCCTCTCCCACTATCATGATCCCAATTCTACCTTGCAAGTCTGGCTAGACC